GGCACGCTTTCCAAGAATAACTGCTAAACAGAGGCTAATTGGGGCATCTCGGTGGATTTCCGCACAAGGCAGCCCAGACATGCATCAGTCATCAGAAGCAAGGCAGTCCCTGACTTGCATGCTAGTTTTACAGTTTTCTTAGTTAATTTGTTAATTAATTAGGAATTTGTATATTATTTGGACTGTAATATTTTGACTGTAATATTATTTATTCGGGACTGTATTATTTATTCGGACCCTCTGCGCGAGGGCATAATTGTAATAAGTGTGCGTGTGTGTGTGTTGTATGTCTTCCAACCCCACGTCTTTCTCCCTTTTATTTATCCGCTTATGATGGTTAGATTAGGGCATATTTAAATAGGTTATCGTTTGTGTCCCAACTACCTAACAAAGACAAATTACTATGCGTTTATCTGTAAAAATTTTCATTGCATCACTAGTTGGACTAAATAGACAATGCACATATAGTGTTTTGGGAGTGTGAATCTTTTGGCTATCTCAATTGAAATTAAAAAAAGCACAAAAGATTAAATAGGCTAATTAAGTCAATAAAACAAAATATCATATTTAAACCATAATCATTTTAATTTTTCTCTAAGAAAAGTCAAAAAAATAAAAATAAAAAATCAATTTTTAACTTACTTCTCAAAATAGACTTCTGTCCAATCAATTCTAAATTCCAGTTTTGGATATAAAAATGAGTCTTTGAATTGACAATTTTCTCATGCTATATATTTAAGAAGACTATTGAGTCTCATCAGGGGATGTAATACAGAATTAACCGATTGAAAAAGATTAAGATTAGTTGATTAAAAGACCTCAATACCCTCAAATTATGATCATTACACCATGTTATCCATAAGTCTCTTTGTTACAATTTCTAGCAAGTTCAACTACTTTCTAATAATCAACTTCTTTTAAAAATTATTCAAGTTTATTTCTGTCTCATAAACTAATTATTTTGACACAAATTTTTTAAATTATTATTATTATTATATATATATATATATAAATGTGCGCATCACATAGTAAATCTAGGCTAATAACCGGAATAAGAACGCATAATGTTTTCAAAACTAGATATCATGGTTAGTAGAGGCCGATCTTTGATCGGGCGAGCGGGGGTGCTCACGAAGTGACCTTCCCCAATCGTACCCAAGTTCCCGAGCCGAGGCAACTTTGGTGATGACGGGCACGTGGCCTTTGGCAACGAGTCAGGGTTTCCTAAATTTCCCAAAATAAAATATTTAGGTGGCGACTCTGTATCTGGCAAAGCAGTCCATGTTTGGCACTTCTTTTCAAAATTTGTTTTTCTCAAAACGATTTGCCGGATTTGGACTCTTTGGTTCAGACTTAGAACCGTGACTACGAATCGAGTCCGAACTGTAGCGAGGTCCCCCGCGGGCTTGTTACAATATGTACCGCGACAAAAGTTTTCTATGGACCATGATAAAACGTCCTATATGTACGCCGACAAATGGTATATATGTACCACGACAGAAGGTGATCTATGTACCACGACAGTCATTATTTGTTGATTGCCAAAAGTTTTTTGTATCAGTAATAATGAACTACACAAAAGCTGAGGACGACAAAAGTATTATATTAGTTCTACACAAAAGTGAAAATTCTTCTCCATAAACCAATATGGATTATCCACAAGTCCACGCAACAAAACCATCTATAAAGAAAAACAAAAAACGAAATGTTAGAATTGGTTACAAAATATCAATTCAGTCAGCCATATAGAACATGTTCTAACATGCATTTAAGGTAGAACAATTGAGAAATGTCTTTTTTGAAATAAAAGAAAGTGTATGTATATATATATATCATGCAATATTTATTCCAACCAACTGCACAAATAATGTAATATGTAATTTCTTCGTTCTATGAACATATAAAGGCAATTATTAGAATATGCAGATGTTATTTTAATAAAGTTGTTGCTTTTTAACTAAGTGTTGCAAGTTTTTCGACTAAGTGTAAGGTGTATTCGGGGGCTATTATGAATTTTTGCCCCCGGAAAGCCATTTTTCGAGTAAGTTTAGGACATATTCGGCTCTAACTCCCAACCTACGGGTCCGAATTACGTTCCGTCAGATCTCACAAATCCTATTTGTCATGGCGAAGCTATCCCTGTGAGTCATACGGTCGTTCGAGGGCTATTTTGAATTTTCACCCCCGAAACGCCCTTTTTCGACTAAGTTTTGGACGTATTCGGCTCTAACTCTCTACCTACGGGTCCCAATTACGTTTCATCAGTTCTTAGAAGTCCTATTTGTCATGGTGAAGCTATCCGTGTGAACCACACGATCGTTCGGGGGCTGTTTTGATTTTTTGCCCCCGAAACGCCCTTTTTCGACTAAGCTTAGGGCGTATTCGACTCTAACTCCCAACCTACGGGTCCGAATTACGTTCCGTCAATTCTCACAAGTCATTTTTCATGGCGAAGCTGTTCGTGTGAGTCACACAATCGTTCGGGGGCTGTTTTGATTTTTCGCCCTCGAAACGCCCTTTTTCGACTAAGTTTAGAGGGTATTCAACTCTAACTCCTAACCTACAGGTCCGAATTATGTTCTGTCAATTCTCACAAGTCCTATTTGTCATGGGGGGAACTATCCGTGAGAGCCACACGGTGGTTCCGAGGCTGCTTTGATTTTTCTCCCCCGAAATGCCCTTTTTCGACTAAGTTTAGGGCGTATTCGGCTCTATCTCCCAACCTACGGGTCTGAATTACGTTCCGTCAATTCTCACAAGTCATATTTGTCATGGGGGAACTGTCCGTGTGAGCCACATGGTGGTTCGGGAGCTATTTTGATTTTTCGCCCCCGAAACGTCCTTTTTCGACCCCGAAACGTCCTTTTTCGACTAAGTTTAGGGCGTATTCGGCTCTAACTCCTAACCTACGAGTCCAAATTACATTTCGTCAATTCTCACAAGTCCTATTTGTCATGGCGAAGCTATCTATGTGAGACACACGTTCGTTCAGGGGCTGTTTTGATTTTTCGCCCTCGAAATGCCCTTTTTCGACTAAGTTTATGGGGTATTCGGCTCTAACTCCCAACTTACGGGTCGGAATTACGTTCCGTCAATTCTCACAAGTCCTATTTGTCATGGGGAAACTGTTCGTGTGAGCCACATGGTGGTTAGGGGGCTGTTTTAATTTTTTGTCCCCGAAACGCCCTTTTTCGACTAAGTTTAGGGCGTATTCGACTCTAACTCCCAACCTACGGTTCCGAATTACATTCCGTCAATTCTCACAAGTCCTATTTGTCATGGCGAAGCTATCTGTTTGAGACACACGGTTATTCGGGGGCTATTTTGATTTTTCGCCCTCGAAACGCCCTTTTTCAACTAAGTTTAGGGCGCATTCGGCTCTAACTCCCAACCTACGGGTCCGAATTACGTTTCGTCAATTCTCACAGGTCCTATTTGTCATGGGGGAACTGTTCGTGTGAGCCACATGATGGTTCGGGAGCTGTTTTGATTTTTCGCCCCCGAAACGTCATTTTTAAACTAAGTTTAGGGTGTATTCGGTTCTAACTCCCAACCTACGGGTCCGAATTACGTTCCGTCAATTCTCACAAGTCCTATTAGTCATGGTGAAGCTATCCATGTGAGACACACGGTTGTTTAGGGGTTGTTTTTATTTTTAGCCCTATTTTTCATCGTGTGGGCCTAAGTCCTTCGTAGCAAAGTCAATAAATGACTTAACACCTTGTTGGTACTCTTTACTTTTCAACCTATCACGTATCATCATCCAACTCTTGTCCATCTTTTAAACCCTATAATTCAAGCAAAGATTAACTAGGACTTTTGGGGATGGCCATAAAAGATGACAATTTGGGTGAAGTAGGAGTATAAAGAAAATACAAACAAAATTTAAAAAAAAAAAAAAATCACACATAATGATGTATGTTATTTATATTATCTAATAAAAATTAAAATGTCTGTCACTTTAGTGAATATTATAAAAATAACATTATTTCACCAATTTTGCCTTGAATATCATGCAGTATTTAGTTTTCAGTACTTAAATTTCAGTTTTTAAGTTATCAAACAACACTTCAAGTCAGTCACTTAATTGTGTGTCATATGCTTTGACACACCCTTAAATTCATACTTTTCAATATATATCCAAAAGTTTATGTACCAAACCAAACCAAAGCAAACTAAGGCTTGTGTCCCAATCAAGTGGGGTTGGTTGCATGAATTATTTTCCCTTAATCTGCTATGTCAAATGCTATATGTTTAATTAAATTATATAAATTCATATGCTTATGTCTATATATATTGTGGGTATGGGTGATAAACTTTTACTATCCAAGTTAAATAGTTCTAATATGTCATAGAGCTCAATACACCCCTGTTGGAAACGAAGGAAGCAACCTCCCATAGCTTGACAGTAAGAAGTCAACATGATAAAGATATACAAAAAGATGCAAAATATGGGAACCCAATGATGCCCCCAAGGAACACAAATACAACCTCTCTAAAAATGAGAGGGACACAAAAAATTACCCCATTAAAATCTTACTTTCACAACTTGGGAGAAAAGTTTTGAATTGATACCCTAAGGGTATGTAATAAACAATGAACTTTAATTTTTGCACAATTGATGATTCTTTAATATCCAAACAAAGAATCTGATCTGGAGTAACAAGAAACTTTCGCAACCTGAGAGCACAAGTCTTGAAATGACACCTTAAGGATACGGTATAAAAAATGAACTCAAATTTGTGTGCAGTTGATGATTCTTCAATATCCAAACAAACAATCTGATTTGGAGTAAAAAGAACACCAAAGAAAGCCCTACCATCCAGCACAAATAGTCACTTGAAGAATGTAATATCCCATCCCAATGTGTAGAAATATATTTAGAAAATACAACCAAGCACTAATAGGCACCCTGAAATGACTACTAACTAGAATACTTTTATCATAAGTTTCAGAATTACCCCCCAAAAGAAAACTTTTGTATCTCAAGTAAGAGAATTGCAAAACATTTTTTAAAGGCCTGACCCAACTACTGGCTTGAGGCTGATGTTTCACCTACATCTATTGCATGTATTAATGATGCAAGTATTGCGCATGGTTGTGAGTACGTACCAAGCAGCTAGTGGTGCTGGTGCTGCTGCAATGGAGGAGCTTGAGCAACAGACTCGTGAGGTTTTTTTGTTTCTCCCATCTTAATATCATCTTTACTGTTCATTTTTTTTTCCTTCCTGATATTTGATAAGTAGCTTTGACAATCCTTTAAATTTGATTTTTTTTTTTTTTTTGTTCTCTTATTTTTACCGTAAGGTCTTGGAAGGAAAGCCTCAAACTTGTAATATCTTCAATCAACAGGTTTGTCTATCTGTTCATGTTTCTTGAATTCAAAATTGAGATAAATGGTTAATCATTATTTATTATATCTAATTGTTCAAATTACCTCTTAATACAACTACATGCAGTATGCTTTTGATCTCTTCTCACACAATGCACCTATCCTGTCAAATGGCTACAATGAAGAGGAAATGAAACTAGTAAAAGAGAACAGGAAAATCTGGGTAAATGTATAGACTTGGTTTTTTCTATTTAATTCTCAATATCTCTTTAGATTTATGTATATATGTGTGCTGAGGTCTCTAATTGACTTGGACAATTTGCATTGTCTACATGATGTACTTTTATTTTTTATTTTTCTTTTGATAATAATTTTATTTGCTATTGTAGAATGACATGAATGTCAAAGTAACTGCCACATGCATAAGAGTTCCTGTTATGCGTGCACATGCTGAGAGTGCGAACCTCCAAGTTGAGAACCCCCTTGATGAGGTAATTTTACATTTTAACTCAAATTTTTATTGGTTTTTGATTCATAATAAATCTTGTTGCCTTAATTATGTTTTAGTGGAGTTTCTATCCTTGATTTTCATCTGTTGTTGAAGGATAAGTTCTTGAGATTAGAGCTATGGATATTGTTCATGGCAATGTTATTCTTTTTTTGGTGATACACACCCTGTTTTAACTACATTTATCTATTGGTATTCCATGCTTTCTATATCACTTCTATACATTGTATTAACCTGTCTCATAGACTAAGATGAGTTTATATAAGGGAAAAATTGCAAATTTGTCTGTGGAAACCTTTCATCCGACCTTTCCTTTGAGATTTGCCTATTCCCATATGATAATCTCTATGGTTTTTTGGGGATATAAAAAAAGTTTGTACCAAGTGCACAAGCTTATAGTAGCCTAACAGGATCCAGGAGAGGTAGTACGTATGCTGCCTTGCTCCCACTGTTTTTTTGGAGAGGTTGATTATCCTTTTTGGGCACATAATGCAGATTAGTTTGGTTACCAAGACTTATCTAAAGTTTTGTTCATTGTTTAGTATATTGCTGTGCTCATTTATCTCATGACGCTATTTCCATCTAGCTATCATTGGATTTCACCGGGCCTTTTGATTATTTTATGGAAGGATCCACTTGGATTCATTAAATTTTCTTTTTCTAGTGCTCAATATCCTATCTCAATATATTTTCTAAATTTGAGAGGCAATGTGATATTGATGGCGTAAACTTAATTGTAGTCGTGATGGTGCAAAATTAAAGACCATGATTCTATAATGCATTTTCATGTGAAATCTACAAATCATCTATATTTCAACTCAACACATGCTCACTGTACTTTGTTTTCTATTCTGTTTTGAATATATAGGCTTGACTCACAGTTTAACTAGAAAATTGTTCAAAACATTGGGAATAAATTGAATCAAACAAAAACAGAGTGTCGCCCCTATCCAGTTGGTATACATTATGAAGTGAAGAACATTAACTTATGGTTACAAGATGGCGCAACTGATGTTGGCGTATTTCTGATCTATGGGATGGGTCGAATAGGGAAGACAACCATTGCCAAACATGTTTACAACCTAAACTTTGAAAAATTCGTTTGATTCAACCCAACGGTTTGATTCGTTTACAAAATAAAAATTGTTTCAGATATATTGAAAGCCTCTGCATTAAAAAAAAAAAACCCTAAATGTAGAACAAAAATCATAAACCATTTACTCGTTTCCGATAAATGAAACTCATAAATCAAACTCAAACAGGGAAATAGAAAAAGGAAGAGAGACGAAGAGAGAGAGACAGAGAGAAACCTGAATCAAATTCAATGGGTGTCAGACGGTGTACCTGTGGTGGTTCAGGGGCTCTAAGCAACGGTGGACGATGGTTAGTCGATGAGAGGAGATGATCAATGGGCTGTCGACGAGAGTGAGAGCAAGAGAGTGGGGTGTTTGAAAGAAATATTGAGAGAGTGATTGAAAGAGCTAATACACTCTGTGATTCAATTGTGTATTAAACATGAAGAGAAGGCTCCATTATATAGGAGAGCTAATACAACATCATTATGATACAACATTATGAAAGAAAACATATAAAAATAAAAGTAGCCGAAAGTTGAAGGCACTACCTAAAGCACTACAGTAAATCATCTGATGGAGAAGCACTAACTATTAAATATATATTAATGATATAAGCATGCTTGGTATTATTATATTAACAAATAGCTTGCTTGATTTCCAATAGTGTTTCCTGTGGTGTATTCAACACATACAGAGAAATAAAAAAATAAATAAACAAAAGGAAACATAGCCTAAAAATACGCGGTACTATTCAATATTCCCACCAAAACTTTTTGGTTTTATTGGCGACAAAATCAATTTAGTCACTAAAAGTAACCTTTGCCTACCAAAATTTTTGTAGCCAAAGATAAAAGTAAAATAATGTTTAATTATTTGGCGACTAAACTATTTTAGTAGCCACATATTTTTATAGGACGACTAAAAACTTTTTTTCGTCGTTCAAAATAAATTTTTACCGACAAAAGATTGGTCGCCAAACATAAATACCAAACATTTTGCAAGATTTTTACCGACTACATATTTTTAGTAGGCAAAAATGAGTTTACGGCGACTAAAAAAAATTTAGTAGCCAAAAAGCAAAACTAACGCCGACTAAAATGTTCATTAGTCGCCTATTACGGTAGTTTTTAGCGACTAATTTATTTTTTAGTCGCCAATAAGTAATTTATAGTGACTAAAAAAAATTTAGTAGCCAAAAAACAAAACTAACGCTGACTAAAATGTTTATTAGTCGCCTATTACGGGAGTTTTTAGGGACTAATTTGTTTTTTAGTTGCCAATAATTAATTTACAGCTACTTAAAAAATTTAGTAGCTAATTTTTTAACCAATGGCGACCAATACCAATTTTAGTTGCCAAAGGTATGAGTTTTGGCAACTAAATTAATTTTAGTCACTAAAATTGGTCGCCAAAAGTGCGAATTCTTGTAGTGGTTTATGAAGTTACTGTAGTATCCCCATTGACAAAGTATAGAGGTATATCCTGCACATCTTATTTCAATCTAGAGTGCTAACATCTTATTGATTGGGTATGAAATTAGACTCAATTCTCATTGATCTTAAACACATATTTTGTTACAATGGATTTATTTGTAAATGTTGTCAATGTCCCCTTGGAACTATGGTTATAGATATTTTGTGGAGTATAGACATACACTTTTGCATGAGATGCTTGTACTTTTGGATCCTTTTGCTTATTGGTATTATATCACCAATAATGCTTCTTCTTCTTTGTTTGGGCATATCTGCATCCTTTTCCTGGTCATAAACAAAGTGCTTAAAATTTATTTTGTGCTCCATGCAATTGTTTATCATAATTATTGTATTCTCCTAGTATTGTAACCAGGATTGATACCTTCTTTGTTTCATGCAGTTCTACCCGATTTTGCTCAAGTATACAGCTTCATTGGCAGTGTCTTTGACCCAAACACTACTGGTCATTTGCTAAAGCTAAAGAAAATGGACCCAATTGTTGTGTTTCTTCCTTTCTTGAAAGGTTTTTTCTCATCAATAAAGTTTTTTGGTTGATCAAAAAACAAAAAATATATATCCCATACTATTTTGATTGTTTTGTGATTCTAATGTAGATGTAGGAGACTTCTTTCCTTATATGGTTTGATGCAGGGAAACAAAAAATTCCTACTTAATCGGATGTTAGAAAATACACAATGATAACTACGCCTACGTTTATGGAGAGTAATCTACTATGCATAAGCTGGAGGAACCTCTTAAAATCCTATCCCGATCTAGGGCTACCAGGATAGGCATTATTACATGTCGGGGGATTAATTGAAAAAAAAAAAGAAAAAAGAGAGAGTTATTTCTCCCTTTTAAAGTTTGTATAGAAAATACCTTTTACTAGAACAAGTTTAAAAAATGGATGTTTCATGGTTAGTCGTTTATTTCTTCCCTGCTATTGTGTGCATCATAGCAACATTATAGAATGATATTAGTATCACATTTTGTATTCAAAATAACCTCAAGATAGAATGGTAATGATCAAATTCCATGATTGTGCTTATTTGGTCTTTTGCCCTACTTGACTTTATAATAAAAATTGCTTTTTTTGCATTGGCCTTATCGTATAGGTTTATGTTATTTAGTTTACCTCCGCTTCAACGACTTTAGACCTGGATTAAATGCTAAAAAGTTTGCTCCTAGAAGTACACATGCCTTAGGAAACCACATTTGTAACTGTTTCATTCTTTTTGACTCCTTTCTAGGTGCTACTGTTGATGTGAAACCTTTCCATCAATTTGACTAGTCTCGACTTTGAGGAACATGTAAGTGCCATTTCCACCAAGTGTTGTTTTATATGTTCTTGGCATCTACTACATGAGCATAGTTTAGATGACGGATTTGACTACCTAAATCTCATTTAAAACCACTTGAATTAGAAAAGTTATAAGGCATTACCAAGTTCTTCAACACCTCAAGGTTCTATTTAGTTGCCTTGTGCTTTCTTTGTTTCTGGCCCAATATTTAACTGTACGTTTGCTGCCTAATTAATTGCTCTTGATTGTCTATAATTCTCAATTCAAGAAAATCCTGATATAATTGTTTTCCATCCAAGTATTCCTCAAGGGCTCTACTGGCATTTGACTATGCAATATTGAAAAATCTAGAAATCCCCTAAATGTTGATTTGTGATTTATGTATCAATTTTAAGCAGTATATAACAATCCCAATCAAACAATCAAGACAAATCAACACAACGATTTTACGTAGAAAAACCACAATTGGACACCTCTAATTGTGATAAAAAAATCACGGGCAACAGCCACAAAACAATCCACTAAGAAGATATAAAGGAATTACACAAGTATACTCTCAATTACCTAGCGAATCCACGTCCAAATTGAACCAACCTCTATGTGTCTCTTCTAACCCCGTCTTCACCTCGGAATTGTCTTGACGATGAGCCACTCTAGAATCCACCAAAGCTTCAGGCTCGTATTCTTCAAAATCCACTGAAGAACAACTCTCTCTTTTGTATAGAATTAAACAAATAATCCTTTGATGTAAACTTCTAAAACCATGAGTTGAAAACTCAATCAAAACATCAAAGAAAATTAGCAAAATATCCCCAGATATAAACCCTAGAGCCCAAGAAGAAGATCTGGAGAAGTAATCCTAGATTTGGAGCAACTTGCGAATTTATAGAATCTGAAATCGCGAGGTCCGCTCGAGCGTGGGAATGGACGCTCGAGCGGGGACACTATATGACGTGTTCCAAACCAGGATGTACGCTTGAGCGGGGATTTCGACGCTCGAACATGAAAACACAGATCATAGTATTTTTGCAGACTCACCAAACTTCTGGAACTCAGCATTCTCCGCTCGAGCGAGGGAATATCCGCTGAAGCGGATAGACAACTTTGAATGCATTTTTGCATTTTGCTTCGGGGGCGCTGCCCCTCGACCCCCGCGAGCTGACCGGGCAGCTCGATCCCTGTCATAATCAGCGAAGTGGCAATCTTGAAAGAATTAAACACCACAAACTTCTCTGCAATGCATGATTCGGGTTGGATTCACATCTAAAAACTCATAGCCTCACTGAAATAAAAAGTGCGAAAACAAATACAACTTAAAGGAGTTTTGTTAAACGGGCTGTCAAGAATAAAAACTTAACAATCTCTTCCTTTGGCAATGCCGTGACAAAACACACCTAACAAATAAAATCCTAATCACCCCAACCCATTACAGCCAACAAAAGCCAACTTCCTTCTCAAGGTCATGATCTGCAAAACAGTTATTAATGCCACACTCTCCAAAACAACTATTAGTCCCACAAGAGTATAGAAAAAAAACAATAAGGGTATGTTTGG